TCTGTACAATTTAGCTTTGTGCACGATTCATCCATCTGTACCAAAGAAAAAGAGAAATAATGTCAGTTAAAATTGGACAAATAATGAAAAATGTCCATGAAAAGCAAAGGTCACATTAGCAAATTAAAATGACTACCATTATCAAATTGTAAATAAAACAATAGCATTCTTATGTCTATAGAATAAATTGGATGAGCCAAATCCCCGTTTAACAGTTTGTGGACTATGGATAATCTCTCTCGATGCTAAATAAGCAATAAATTTGGGGCATAGTTGAATCAAGTATCTCTGCGTCCCCTCCCAGAGCTGGACGGAGCATCTGATGCCAAGCTAGGCCCGACCTGTGCCTCCAGGAATAAATCCTATTAACCAACTAATTTGTTCTGAAATCAAATTACAAATAACTTACAAAAGCACCCAAAAAATTATATTCTCATTAGGTATATTTTAAACAGGGATACTTAAAGAAATAGGAGCAAAAAAACACTACTACATCACAGATTGGGGGAGTTCACAAACAACAACACGAAATCTTACAAACATCAACACAAACTTACCCAATCTGATATGTACAATATAAAAACACTATTCAAACACTATTCTTATAAAAACACTATTCAAACATCAACAACATTGAACAATATAATAGTTCAAACACTATTCTCACAAAAAAACACTATTCTTATAAACCACTATTTAATAGTGTTTTAATAGTTCAAGGGCTGAAAACTTAAAGATTTTTATATTGTTCAATCTTGTACACATCTTGTACATATCAACATTGAAGAATAGTGTTTTCTTGTACATATCAAACACTATTCAAACACTAGGTATATTTTTACATATGTACAATATAAATCAACATCTTGTACATATCAACAACACGAAATCTTACAAACATTAACACAAATTTACTAATTCAAACACACAAACTTAATCGACATATCCCAGTACCAAACATCAACACAAACATTGACAGTGAGAGGGAGACACAGGCAGAGACTGAGTTCATGAGAGTGATACAGAGGATTTATACCTGAAATTGATTTTTAGGGTGGGTAGAAGATGCTCCGACAAATCGCTGGTGAAACTAGTATGAAGACTGTTTATTGTAAGAATAATTTTGGGAACTCAATTAGGTACGTTTATAATCGACTAGAGAAACAATTTCTTCACACATGACTGCAAATTTGGTACAACAGAGTTATGGTTGATGGGGAGGCCCCTACCAGAGTGTAATGCTGTTAGAGCTAAGTCTGCCAAATGAAAATGGAGTCAGATTTTGTACTAGACAGTTCATCCTCATAGAGTATGTCTTGGTTTGATGACTAAGACAATGATACATGAATATTTACCCCCCTTTCTTTTTACCTCCTACGTACGAACCATATGTATAAATATAGGACCTATCATATCTATAAAATAATACTATCTATAATTCACTGAACTCAACATGATACTAAAATTCACTGAACTACATGAATATTTATTTTTATTTTTATTTTTTGCTTAAAGATCGATCCTCTTCTGATTGAATATGCTTTTTTTTTTAGTCTAAAAGCTTCAAGTCGAGAGGAATCTCCATGTTGACCACTTTTGGAAGTGATTTCTTTTAAAACAATCTTGTGTTCAATCATGCAATTATGTTATTCTTTCAATTGTACACTTGTAAATATCATACTCACTTTTTTTTAGAATAACAAAGACTAGTATTAATTTGGGTCTTATAATATATATTAAAAAAAATTAATACTTTGCAACATATTAAAACAAAAACAAAAACAAATTATGTAATGTGTGATATTATAGAAAATTTTAAATTTTTATGTAAACCATATGGGTGAAATGTTATGCTCCACTACAACATAAAAATATAATAACAAAGAAAGCACTTGAGTTTAGATATACATAAAATAGTGGATGATTCGCGAATAATGCAATGTAGATTCATTCATTCTCTAGATTTTTTATTTTTTATTTTTAGTTAGCCATGGAACAAAATGAGCATGCATTATTGTTGTAGAAATATTTGAAGGTGTGAAAATAAAATGGGTGATATAGTAATCTTCAATCATCTTATTCATAAAATTAAAAATAAAAAAGGGGGGGGAAGGTAGGGGATAACCTAATTATTTTTCATTAACATTATGAATGAAAAATTAGAGATGATGAAAAGTTAGAGAAGTTAGAGAAAAGTTAGAGAAGATTTTCCAAAATAAGAGTATTGATTTAATGAAGTATTAAATAGTTGGACAATCTTTAATTATTCACTTTAATAAGTGAGACAAATTTAAACATATTAAGTTGTTAACAAGACCCTTTACAAAGGCGTATCCAAGGCTTTAAAATATTTAAACACATTTTTTATTTCTCGATATGTATCAACTCAACAAAATATAGCTCTTTACATATCAAAATAGCAAAAAAATAATTTATGTAACCGACCTTTTTAAATTGGGACACAAAGCTTAGTTGGCTTCGTTTGGACAATTGAATGTAAAAATGTTTCAAAATTGGATTATGCAACTGTTTTAGTCAAATCTCATACATGTAGCTATAACTCTTTCTTTGTTTGTTTTTTTTCGTTCTTGTTTTTTCCCCCCACTGTCCCAATCAAAACGTATGGAACACTTTTTAATCAATCGTCTCACCTAATGAGTCACAAATGAATAATTGAGCAACTGATTTCATTGGCATATATATGATTCCCAATGGGGTGATTACTAAAGGCACTGAAAAAGGATGGTTGGATTAGGTTGCGTGCCACACTAATTAAACATCAGTTTGATTGATTAAACATCCCATATACAGTTTTAACTATCACCCAATAACAAAGGCAAATTCTTGAAAATGTTGTATTTGAATCATAAATTTGATTAGATTTTTAAAATAAGAAGGAAAAGGTAAAGAAAATGGAGGAAAAAAATTAATATATCTAATTTAGGTATGTTATGGACGCAGAAAAATTTCACAAACCTGTAGATCCTCCATGACAGTTGGGTATGCATCCTTGAGATCAATAACAGCAATGCCCTCTGGAAATTTACGTATTAGGATGAGTAGTTGATTCTTGTCCTTCAGAGCATGTTTGGACTGTAATCAAATAAAGACCAAGTAAATTCTCAGCACAAAGACAACTTTTTTTCGAAGCTTTTTGGGCAGGCACCTGTAACAATCTATGAACTCTTGGGGAAGACAGAGAAGTTCAATTGTCTGCCAGGGTTCCAGGTGAAAAGATTAGGATTTACCTTGTAAGCGAAGCACCTCCCATCATAGTTCAATTTTGGGTTATTCCTCAAACTGTCAAAGACAGCCTTGTTGGAATTAATGTCAACATAACATGCTTCATTTATTTGCTCTGGTGTAAAGGCTTGCCTTGTCTGCAGAACAAGAAACATAAATAATTAAGGTGTAATTAATCCCTTTCTAGTGAGCCTACAAAAAATGAGAGGACAAATCAACCAATGACTTCCCACATGCCCCTGCCTCGCGCACTGGCATCCTGCAGGGGTAGGTGGGTTGTGCAGCAAGTATCAGCAGCATGAATAAGTTCAAGGCTCACAGCATAAGAAGTATTGGAGGAACTATAAAACTTCTACAACCTCTATATTTTTTTGCTAAGTCTATAACATAACCTCTATATTTGAACACTGTAGATCTACCCGAAGAAATCTCACATTACCCAACCCCCAGCTGGATGAAAAATCTCGAGAGATAAATAATGCTAAAACAAAACACTTCACCACTGTATAAAACATAACACTTCAAGAATAGATCCAAAAGCTTATAGAAGTTAGTTATAAATATCATTATCATACCCCTCTCCTTTGCTTGGGAGAACACAACCATCTGGAAAAATGATATTGCCTGATGAACTTCCCCTCCTTTGATGACCTTGCACAGCCGTGCCGTCAACGTTTCTTCAACTGACATCTGAGCCAGGTTTTCCAGACAAATTATTTTAACATTATCCTCAAAACAGGAGGCAGAATTTTGTGAAACTTGGTGTTCATGGTTTGAACCAGCAATGCTTGCATCATCATCGGATTTCTCAAATTTAGTTCTGGAAAATAAAAACAAAATTGTAGTTTCGTTTATACAGACTGACGACCTTGCCCATGCAAAGGTCATAAGAAACAAATATATTAAATGAACATTAAAATTTGTCTTAGCACCAGCACCACTCTTTCATATCATAGAACACCTAATAAGCAAATTATGTGTAAATAGATCGCAAAACATATAACAGCAGGACAATATGAGAGGAAAAGATATGATTGAACGATCTACAACAAGAAAACATAAAACGCATTAGTCAGAGTTACGTCGGCTGATAGAGAAGATGGTTTATTCTGCATCAGATCATTATCTTCCTGTGAAGTACCATATCGTTAGGAACCGCAGAAAGACTCAGGTTTCACTAAAGAAAACCATGCAAAGAGTATTAACATACTATATCTGAAACTTGTGAACAGTAGCTCACTGAAGACAACTGATGCTGCAATTCCTTTTCATGGTCAAGCCCAGAAGAACTAACTGAGCTTCCACCCAGATCTTTTTCAGATATAATGTCCTCATCCTGGATCTAGCAAAATAAATGTTGATTAGTAAACCTAAATTTACAATAGCTCAATGGATTCATAAAGGAAAAGCTGCACAGAAGAAATAGCTAGTTACTTTACCAAGGAAGCTTGAGCCTTCACGTCTTCAAGATTGAAGTTCCAACCACTAATCCCTCGTTTGTATTCATTCTACACATGATTCACAAAAATTAATATAAGAAACAGCAAGGTATAACATAGAAAGATCCTACCCTTAAACTTAAAGAATCCTGCATATAGAATATTCTGTGAACAAAAACTAGAACAGTATTGACAGGAATCCCACCACAAGCAGTAACAATATAACAGAAAAAGAGATCTATCAAATCAGCAAGCTGTTAACAACCTGCCATGTTTGGGAAGTGTTATGTTGGCCACGCTTTATTTTACTAATCAAAAGTTCTTGACAATAGCATTGCGGGTTCAAATTCCATAACCACGCATTTTGGAATCAAGGCTTCAAATTAATTCTAACCCCAATCAATAATAACTGTATTTAATGTCCTACTCACTGCCTGAGTCAGAGCATGCTCGCACAATCATGATAGAATCCAGCAAGAGGACATCTTATGACAAATTGTCCTTAACAAAGAGAAATAGTCGTGCCAACCAGGGCATGACCACTGACCCATTTAAAAAATGACGCATGAGAGAAAGAAAAAAAGGGTAAAACAAAAAATGCAGAGTTGACAAGTGGCATATTTTCTATCATGTCTCTAAATGTTACTCACTTTTTGCATCATTGAGATTTTGTGATACCCCCTGACACAATGAAGTGAAAGAGTGGGGATCATGTAATCCAGGAATGTTAAATATACAAATAAGTAGTGGCAGTTACAAATCGAAAGCCCACGTGTTTTAGAAGAACACATCAGCCGAACATATGGTGATTTTCACAGTAGAAGAAAGAAACACAACATGAATTGGATATCCAAAAATTTGTTAGATGTTAAAGGAATCACTAGACTGCATAATTATCATAACAGCCAGTGCCATTTAACAAATGTAAAACGATTATGACAGACAGTTCACATTCACCTATTAGACTAAAATAATAGTAAGGTGCACATGTACTAATTAGCTCTGAGAGGAAATTGAAAACAAAAGAATCTAAACATACTATCAACCACCAAAGACCAAAAATTTTATACCAAACAACCAATGTTGAACACAATCTACCCAAAACTGTTAAGTTCACCTCCATCTAGAATTGCAAGGATATTGCACACACTATTATTCAATTTAAAGGTAAAATCATTCCCTACAGGCAAATTAAAAACCTATAACTATTAACAGAGGATCACTGAAAAAATATGAGGTTAGCAGTTCAATCATAGTTCAAGAGGTCACTAAACCGGAAATTCACTAGAGACAAACCCAAATACAGAGTTTGAGCATAAAGTATGAAATGAGCGTATTCCCATGCCAGACAACTCCTTTGAACGGTTGAAGAACACTTCAACATGTTCTGCAGGGAAATTTTTTTATATTTTGACTTGGTGTTAATTTCAAAAGATGACCACAAGACTTCCATAGACAAATCTAACATATATTTGACAAGGCACTCAAGATCTATGAATAGAATTGCCAGAATCAAGAAAACTACAGACCACAAATTCCACCATGTGCAAACGAAAAAGAAAGAAACTCACATTCATAATTTTGCTTACACAACCACAAAATAAATTAATATGAATGTCATACACAAAACCACCTGGCTCTCATTAAACATCATTTCATACCTCTGAGCCGCTCTGTGAGGATCCATGACAAACAAGAATTATCCGATTACTGGTTTTTCTGCCTCCAGAACTTCCAGCTGCAATAGGTGAATTTGGGGTCTGCATCAATTACAACAAAAATTATGTTCTGCGCTCCAAGGCAACCTACACTACAGGGAAACTAAAGCCTATGCTAAGTGCTCACAGTAAATGGGTTCTTTACCCTAAAAATTTAGGCATTCAACATATACTAGACCACGACTCTGATGGACAAAATGCTTAATGATCAATACCAACCATTTTGTAGGTTAGAAAAACAAAAAAAAAAATTCATTGTCATAATGTCATTACAGATATTGTTGATTGATTTAAGCAAATTGGATACAGAATTTGCCGGTTCATGAAGGGAATAGACAACTCAATGTCATGACTGCATTGAAATTATAAAGATAATGTTGGATCACCCTTTAAGTAATATTGAAGAATGAATAGGGATACCAGATTTAAGCGATTAAGACATATATATGGAGACCCACCCTCTAGTCGTGGGGTGAAATCCAGCACAGTCACACCACAATTGCTCTGCAGTAAAATCCTGAAATACTCGGTGCCTAAGCCTGATAAATGGAAAGAAGCAACGAAGGAAAAGAGAAGAAACTGCATTCAAAATGACATATTAAAATTTCTGTTGGCAAGTCATAACAGAGAAAGTAGAGAGTACCAATCGCTGTTGCAACGAGGGCCTGATTAACAGCATTGTGAGCAACCACAAGAACAAACATGCTTTCGTGAGTTAAGATTTTGGTCCAGCAGCTTCTAGCACGATCCCACAACTCCCTCACTGGATAATGACCATCAATATTAAAATTTGCCGCACCAAACTTTGCTTTTCCCTCATGCTTTAGGAGACCCTGAAGTCAATAATGGAATCAGCAACCATTACTATACCATTTCTTTGGCATGTTACGTCTTAATATCATTAAAAAATCATTGAAGCATATAATATAACTGCACATCTGATGGAAGAGATGTTGAGAAATTAAGCTAACTTGAAAGGAGTACAGGTCAATTTCCCTTAGATCAGAATCAGTAATAATCTCCTCCTTGCGAGCACTCCAAATGATTTCAGCTGTTCTCTTCGACCTATTCAGTGGACTGAAACAAACAAACCCATATGGTCAACTGACTGTGAAGAATATGAAAGAATAAATTCTTGATTATCACTCAAGAATCAACTCAATATAAATTTGGGTGTCATATAAAGAATGGATTGAACCATTCTGTTGTATAGTATCAAAATTCAACAAAAAAAAAAAAAGTACGTAAAAAGTTAATGCATTACATATTTTATGGTCTTATATCTAAATGGGTAATGCTATACAAACTGACTTTTTATACAAAAAATTTATACAGAATGATATGTCTCAGGAAGCTTCTATTTCCACACACCACATTATCTCAATTCACACACTTAATTTTTGAATTTTTAGTTCAGAAGTCCGAACCAAAGATAGAGCTGAATCAAATAGTTTTCCACGTAAGTTGATTTCCAAAGAAAAAAAAAATGAGTGCACTAAGAGGAAACCATGTGTGGAAATATAAGCTGAGTGCTGCTAATACCAAAATTATCCTTAAGAAAATTTCACTCACTCAAATGCACACCCCCACACCCCTAAAAACCAAAGGCACCTTGTCTCTACCTTTCCCTTTCTTCAAACTCTGAATTGTACATAGAATAATAGTCCAATAGTTGGAATTACATTCGGAATTATAGTCCAATAGTTGGAATTACATTCGGAATTACATTCGGAATTGTACATAGAATAATAGTCCAATAGTTGGAATTACATTCGGAATTACATTCGGAATTATAGTCCAAATATGAAAAGAATTACATTCGGAATTATAGTCCAATAGTTGTAAAAACTCTAAAAACCAATATAATAACTAACCAAGTTAAGAAAGAACACCATAATGGGGATATAATAAACAATACAACAAAGACTATCATAATTATTAAATTTAACATTAAATATTGCATAATTAATTGTTTGTGTATTGGTTGAATGGTTTAAATTGATGCATGTTATGTTTTCAAAGTATGACTTTTAACCCTAAAAAATTTTACTTGCAGGCCCATTGGCGTGGTCATAGAGCTTTTTTGTACTACAAGAAACTAAAAAGGGCATCCATTGTTACACAATGCAGATGGCGGGGAAGAGTCGGCAGAAAAGAGCTTCGAAAACTAAAGATGGTAGGTATCGGTATTCTCGTGCTAGTGACGTTGTAAGAAGTTGTGTATGCCCCTTATCCTTACCTTAACTTGTGGGTATTGTTTGCAAGCTATTTAGTCGTAAGAATTGGATGTAATCAGAGATGGTTTAGGCTTAAATGCTGCTTATAGCATGAGGTCATGTTTAATTGCTTTGGGACATTTGAAGTGGCAATGATGAGCATTTAATGCACTGGAAAAGCATCCATGTGATAAATGTGGAATTCAGATGGAAAACATGATATTTTTTGTTGATGACATTTTCACGTAATAATACATGTGAATGTGCGCATATACACACCCCTGATTATAGAGCATAAAAGTCTGTACATGGTATTTTTTGCTACACCAATTTAGAAGCTTGTATTTTCCCTAGCAATACTCTTATATTTGAACATCCCTTGTGTGCATATGCAATATTTTTTAGGCTGCAAGAGAAACAGGTGCACTGAAAGAAGCAAAGGCTAAGCTTGAGAAACAGGTGGAAGAACTCACATGGCGTATGCAGTTGGAAAAACGTTTGAGGCTAATTTCTATACATATCTATATATGTTGTGCAAAGTACTTTACATTTTCTGCAGGATAAATAAAATTTGGTCTGTGGATTTTCTATGATGAGGATTTAACCTGACTTCCAAAGCCTCCTATCAGAAAAATGAGTTGAAATCCAAATCTATGTAATCTATGGCAGTAAGCACTAAAGTTTTCTTCCACTGCTTATTGCTTAATGACTTTCATTGGCAATAGCTAATCCTCTGATGATTATTTTATTTCCTATTTGATAGAAGCATAATTAATTTGCATAATTAATTGACAATAAATATTGCATAATTAATTTAATTATTAAACATAACATTAAATATTCAACCATAACTACATGGCTCCAATAGAAAAGCAGTGGCCTAACCACAAGGAAAATTCAAGCATACCAATAGAAACAAAGAACAGAGCAAAAAAGGAAAAAAGAAGAACATTGAAACTCCCTTTATGCAAAGATTAATAATTAACATTTTGTCATAACTCAATTTGAACACATGTAGCCTTCCTTCTGATCACGTAGCAGATATATATATGCAGTTTGTGACAAAATTGAAGGAGAGAGAGAATGATGCAGTTCAGTGAATCAATTTCCTCCAAACCATTGTTCGATCAAATATGAAATTGCTATCTCATTTCTCTCTAGAAGTACGAATTAGTTACCTGGTGAATGAGAGAGGAGAGATCGGAATGGACGAGAAGGAGGCAATCCATGTCGTCATTTTCGATTGATCTTCGTTCACAGGAAGAAAATTGATGCCGATGGAGAGAAAGGAAAGAGAGAGAGACATCCAATCTGGGTTCCTTCTCAACAAAGGGAATTGTTTACTAGAGATCCAATATTAGGAGAAACTTATTACATATCATCATATTAAACCAAATTACCCCAATCTGGGTTCGATTGATGCATCAACAGTGTGAAGTAGAAAATTATTGGCGATGGCGATTTGCAGCAGTGGCGACGTGCGACCGACGTGAGCAATGTTGGTGAGGGACTTCGGTGAGCTAGAGAGAGTGGGCACCAATTGAGAGAGAGAACACAGAAAGAGGGAGGGGCGGGCCAATAGAGAGACACAGATTAGGGCTTTTTTTAGATAGAGACAAGGGAGATCAGGGCATTAATTTTTTTTCTTTTCATTCAATTCCCGCCCAACGTTTCAAATTTCCCCCAAACTTTTGGCGACCAAAAATCAAATTAGTCGCAAAAATAAGTTCTTTCGCCGACAAATTTTTTTAGTCGCCAAATATCAATCAACGGCGACTAAAATATTAGTCGCTAAAAGTATTAATTTGGCGACTAATTTTTTTTGGTTGTTGAAAATAAGTTTTTCCCGACCAAATTTTTGGTCGCCAAAAAATATGTGACCTTTCGCGACTAAATTTGTAGTTGGTCGGCAAAAGTATACCACTTTTTGCGACCAACTCATTTTTTGGTCGCCAAAATATAACCTTTTGCGACCAATAATATTTGGTCGCCAAAAATAATGATCATTCGCGACTAATTAATATTTGGTCGCCAAATGTCATTTTTTTGCGACCAAAATTTTTTTGGTCGGCAAAAGTGGTCGGCAAATGTGTGAATTCTTGTAGTGTAATCACAAATATCTACATATATATTAAGAAAGCGTATATGCATATGCATATGCATATATCTACATATATACGAAGAAAGCGTATATACATATATATATATATATATATATATAATAAGTGAAAAGGACCTAAGATATTGAAGGCAACAATTATTTATTGCCGACAAATTGATTACTGCAGCAATCTTCCATTATCAAGGAACAAAAAAAACAAATTTAAATCAAGTAATTAACCATCAAATCAGCCACCAAACTACGGCACCACCACCGACCATCTCACCACTTCCCACAGCGGCCGCCAACTACTACTCCGATTTCTTTTTTTATTGCTCTCACTCTCTCTCTCATTCTTGTTGGCAAGGCCGGTCTTGAAATTTAGGGGTCCAGAGCAAATTTCAGAAATAAGACCCCTCTTACATTGGAGAGAAAAAAAAAATTATGAATAAAACAATAAGTTACAATTTTTTTATTTATTTGTAACCATAAAAAAAAAAATTTACTTGCACATATAATCATTAAAATTATAAATAAAAATTTACTTTCATATATTAACATAGGAAGTAAACATTACAAATAGTAAATACTCAAAAAAAAATAAATAAATAAAATAAATCTGATCTTATTGCTTTATAGTTTAACAATATTCAATTTACAATTGAACCAACTATCACATAAACATTACTCTTCTTACATTTTCAGCTGCAAAATCACTAATGAAACTTGCATAATCGAATTTATCCACCATATCATTTTCAATGGATAACAAAGCTAACCAATTCAATCTGCGGACTATGTTTCATTTTTTTTTTTTTTTTTGACCCCATGTTCAGTTGGACCTATAGTATTTGGGTCTTTTTTTATTTATATCTAAAATTCAAAATTATATTTGGAGGCCCCTATTTTCAGCCCAAATTTGGGGCCCAAGACGCAGACCTCTCTTGCTTGCCCTCATGGCCAGGCCTGCTTGTCGGTGACGGAGTATTATTTCTACATTTGAAGAATCGTTGTGTCGGTGCTTTCTTCCTGTCTTATATTTTGGATAAATTCATATTGTTGGGTTTGATTTTGCGAATTTGGGTTTGATTTGGAGATTTGGGTTTGGATTTGATTTGGCCAGCGATTTAGCTTTGATCTCGATTTAGTTTGAATTTGTGTTGTTATAGTGTTTTAGGTTTGATTTGGTATAGTTTCTGCTTACAGCTTTTTAGACAAAAACAACTTAAATAAGCTGAGAAAAGCTAATTATTTAAAAGTTAAGAAAAACATACTTTTGATTTCTACTTTTTAATTATCAGCTTTCAACTTACAATAAGCTGCACGAAACAGTACGTTAATAGAATTGAAAATGATGGTGAGTTGAGTGGGTGATAGTGGCAATGGAGCTGATAATGATGGGTGATAATGACTGATTTTTATAGAGATGGTAAAAATGGCAAAGGAGAATGGTAGAAGAAGAGGGTAAGAGTAAAATGATGATTTTATATTTTTAGTTAAGGGTATTAAAGTCTTTTCCTATTTGCCATTACTCCCGTTAGTAGACAAATGCTGACATGAGAGGTCAACTGTAATTTCTAAAATGTCAGAGAAGGGCTTGTATTAAACTTAAACTTCAAAGGATGTAAATGTAATTTATCCAAATTCTAATTCTATTGCCCATCTCCAACGTTCCAAATCCTAACCTACACCCTCCTCTTAACACCCCAACCTCTCCTCACTCTCCCTACAACCCCTTTGATAGAGTGAGAAATTGAGCACATGAGAGAGAGAGAGACAGAGAATTACGTAAAGCATAAATGAGAAAAGAAAAATCCAAGTAACCAATAGAGACAGCAATGGCGCTTCTCCAGCAATGAAATGACTTGGAATTGAATCCACCTTTCCTTGGAGATCAATAACAATTAAGGCTTGTATCTGAAAAAGAATGAGAAAAAAAACAAATATGAATTTAGGATTGAAATGAATCTCAATAAGCAAGTTTTCCGCTTGAAGGAGCAGTGTCCTCTTTTTTAAGGCCAGATGCTTCATGCTTTCTTTGCCCAAGCAGGAGCTCTATCTGGCTCATAACAGTTACCATAAAAAAGTTCTTCCCCTGCACTAATTCCTTCTTTAACAAATATCCCCAACCTATGATCCCCGGTGTAATAACCCCGACCTCCGATTAATGCTAAATCATGATTATTTATGCCTAACAGTAATTTAGAGGGACTCCGGAATTAAATTACATATATATTGCATTATCTTTGTGTTTTTATCTGTTTGCCATAAAATGATCTGTTCATGTTTTATGTTTTAAACTGCAAATTGAAAGCTTTATCGGCGCCCGAGTCCGAAATTGATTAGTGTTTTGTGTTAATTAGAATTAATGTGATTTTATGGTAAATTTAGTTGAAATTTGATTTGGTATGATTAAATTGGATTAAATAAGCTAAATTACATTAGTTGGACTTATCTACCATTTTGCCCTTGAGTGGGCCACTTTCTCACACATTGTTTAGAGTTGATTCATACACCATTTTCAGCTTTTTTCCTTGCCAAAACCATGAGAGAGAGGGAGTGAGGGAGGAGATTGAATTCATCTAGAGAATTGGCTTGGAACTTAGGAGAATTGAAGAGGCTTTGCAAATTTGAGCCCCTAGACTTGGAATTCAAGACTTATGGTAGGAGATTCCCCTTTCAATTGTGAATTTAAGATTAATTCTTACATGGTTCATGGAAGATTAGAGTTTAAAGTCTAGAATTTATTTAAAGAGTTGGATTTGAGAGTGAATTCATGCATGCATGCACATATTCTTGGATTTTGGAGTTGTTCTTCATGAATTTCCACATGCATGTCTACATTTTTGTTATAGTCCATGAATTCATCCTATTCTTGAGCTTAATCTTACTTTGGATCATGTTTTGGAGCATTAGAAGTCATGAGAATTCATGCATGTTACATTTAAGTTATTTTCTTGAAATTTTATTTGAAATTGTGTTTAATTGACTCACCTTTGGGCTTTGATTTTACAAATTGATCTTTGAAACCTCTTATACTATGAGTTTACAAGTGTTTTCCAGAAAATGGGCCCAAAGGGTTGAGATTTGAGGTGTTGAATGCTTGGTTTGAGCTTGGGAGATAAATCTGAAAATTCCAGAATTTGGCTTTCTCACTCGAGCAAAGGATTCCACGCTCGAGCGACCATCATTTGTTCAGAGCTCCGCTCGAGCGAAGGATTGATGGCTCGAGCGTAAATTGCAAGCTCTCAGGTTTTTGCTGCACGCAAACGCACGCTCGAGTGACAAGACCTACGCTCGAGCGAAGAGCTGCATCTCACGCTTGAACGAGCATCGAGCGGGCATCGAGCGTAAAATTTCAACAACCAGTACTTTTGCATTTTTACAGACCGCTCGAGCGAAGGAGTCTACGCTCGAGCGATCCCTCTGTTTTGACAAACTCGCTTGAGCGAAAGAAGCCACGCTCAAGCGAGACCCCTGTTTTCAGCATGTTTTGAAAAATGTTTTCCAGGGCATCTTTGCATCCTCGTTCCATCCTAGGCATTCCTAGGCCATGTTTAAGACTTTTTAGTGAGGATTTAAGGTTAGAAACACACTAAGAACCAACGACGTAAGTTTTGTACAATTAGAGTGTGTGTTTCAAGTGTGTGTCCGTTATGTGTTATGTAGGTCACGTGCCGCGTATCGTGTAATCAATCTGCTTTGTTTGTCTATTTCAAGGCCAATTGTGAGTAATAATTTAGTAAAGTTATGTTCAAACTGCATCTACTTTCTGTGTGATAAAATAAGATCTGTTTTCCGAAATGATATGTTATGTACAATGAATGATTGTTTAATTTCTGATATGTATTCATGATATCCTTAGCATCATATGATATCTGTTAGCTGTTACCCGGTATTGGAGGTTCCTTTATGGAACTTATTTCTATCTGCACTCTGTTACCCGTACCGGAGGCCCTATCACGGGGGCTTAGCTTCTGTTCTATTCTGTTGCCCGGATCCGGAGGTTCCTTAATAAAACTGGTTATTCGTAACCTCACGTGTATACGTTCTATTCTGTTCTGTTAATGCTAATGGATGTATCACGTAAACTTAATCATGACTTATGATTTCTGTCTGTATATGATCGGGACAAATGATGAATTTGATACAAATCTGAATTATGATTTCTGAGTCTGTACGAACTCATTTATTGAAACCCTTTACTCTATTATTATTCACTGGGCTTTCGGTCACAGTTTATATTATGTATGTAGGTGAGCCGGCACATGACTAGGGCCAGAGTTGATGGCCTTCTGTTTCGTTTTTGTCAGCCTACTGTTGTGCCTCCCGAGGAGGTTCCGAACAAAGCCCAAGGCCATGGCTGTTTTTGTATTCATGCTAGTCTTTGTGTATACTCTGTAAATTCAGGTCTTGGGAAGTACATTCCATAAATACCTTGTAAATATTATGTATCTGGACTGGCATGTTTATGTATATATAAATAAGTTTTGAAATGTTTTGTCCCATGTACATTATCACAGCTCATTAGACCTTATCTATTTTGTATTATTGCTTCCGCAACCCCTTATTATTTGCTAATCTGTTCAGAGGTCTTTGGTAATCCACGGATTACTGGCTGGTTACGGTGCTAAACCTACAGGGGCAGGTTTGGGTCGTGATTCGTGGACTTCCAAGAAACAACAGCGCCTCCTAGAGTAAAGACATATCCACTAGTGGATTTTGAATCTTTAGTATCCGATATCCAATCACAATAACCTTCAAGTACTGCTAGATATCGAGTAAAGTTCAAACCATGATCACGGTGCTAAACCTACAGGGGCAGGTTTGGGTCGTGACACCCGGCCACCATAATGACTTGAAAAAAAAATTGTTGATTGCTTCTGAAGACAAATTGGCAAAATCTACAATATTATAATTGTATGGTTCATTAAAAATAATAATAATAAAAATAACACTCCAATTGTTTCAAGAGATTTTTTTTCTAATGGAAAACTTTTTTCCTATGTTTGGTTGCTGACTTTGAAACTTACGTGCTAGTAGGGGTGTTAGTGGTGGTGATGACAAAGTGGAGGGGGTGGGGTGGGGTGGGGTGGGCTTGAGGTGGACCTTTTATAAGTGAAAAACATTTTTAAGGCTAGATAAGTTTTTTTTATGTTGACTTTTGTTTTTCATTGTACCAAATACTTAGAAATACAAAAAACATTTTCCAAACAAACGAGTATAAGTAAAAACTAAAATGCTATGATAAAACCCCATTATTATGGCGGTTCAATCAAAAGGTTACCTTTTTATAGCAATTTGGATCCAGAGAATGGTTGGCAAACTTCAATTTATCACCCTTCCGTTGAACTGTATTTATGTTTGCCAACACTATTCTGAAGAGTAGCAAAAGATGAAACCCAAACAAGAGAAACACCAAGCCAAAGCAATCACAGAAATACATTTTGTCACCTTCAAGAAAGCACCCCAGCCAGATACATCAGATCTTCCAAGCAAAACCTGTACAAGTATGGAATTCAACCAAACTATTGCAAAGTTTAAGCTAATAAATATATATCCTGTAAGTTTTGGTGGTTACGTCCTACCAAAGTATTGGTGAGCCCAGTGCAACCTAATTGTCACAAAATCAGTATCCATCAGAACATGTTAATGCAGAAGTAAATAAATAAAAAGTCAACGAGATCATCAACATTTATGCCTTGAGAAATGAAAGATACAGTGGGGCAAAAAATGGGTCATCCAAAATGAAGAGTTCTCCCGCATTAAGTACAATCAAAATATGTCGCAACAACTCACTGCTGCAACTGCCAATTTCACTACATTGCTGCACAAGATTGTAAGAAAGCCACAACATATCAGCCAAGAATAATCTTCCCCTTCAGCGTCGACGGTCACACCATGTAATTTAGAATTTGATTAATGAAAAAGGGACCACTATTTCAACAAGCATGATGGTTGCTTCCACAGTCCCACATTCTTACATTAGTGTCCAATCGATGTTACTGTTGGGTTGTGGAAGCAGCCAGTGGCTGCAGAAATTCTTCAAAAGTTTTGATTCAATACCCTGGATCCACAAGATATTATTAACATTATCGACAACAAAACTTCACAATCTCTTTGAACTAACACAAAACCCAATTTTCATCATTATAACCACATAAGAAATCCAGTTCAACAATGAATCATCATACAATATTTCTCATCAGAAGATGATACTATTACTAAAGCTATGCTCATCAGTTTACAGAAAAATCACAAACCCTCGAATAATACTGAAGAAAGGAGGCAAATGAGGGACATGCTCCTTCAAATAAGAATGAGGCGAATGGGGAATTTGGGGGAGCACACCTTTCCCTAGAAAGGAAACCTAAAGGAAGCTCAAGCAAAAGATTCCCAACCTCAAACTTGATAGAATGAGGTGATAAAGCGTACACATCCCGAAGTTGAAAGAGGGTGTTTTTTCTCTAGTTTTGTTTTAGTTGTGGTGGTGTCTTCGGTTTTTGTTCGCATTTTGTGCCTTCTCCTCTTGCTGTAAGAGGATGTTTCAGTATTTTTATTTGGTTGAGACTTGAGGCCATTATCTTTATTTGGTCATATCTAAGTGTGTCCTTCCCAGTCTTGTATCTTAAGCCTTGTTGTGTATCTTTCACTTTTCTGGTAATAAAACACTTCAAAATTTAAAATAAAAAATAAAAAAAAGAACAACTCCAATTGGTAGCATTTAAGGAATTACCTTCGTTTTTGGGATCATCCCCACTATTCCAAATTAGAAAAAAGCCCACAACAAGAAAGACAAGTAAAAATGACTAGTGAAAGCCTCTTTGAAATAATAAAATTCTCCGTGGCATTTATGGTTGAACAGCCTCCACGGGAGATAATTGAAGGGTGGTTCTAGAAAGAAAAATTGCAACTGAGGTGCTTGATTAGTACCAATTAGATGGTTGTAGCTTGTTTTCAGATCTGGAAAGCCTCAACTCAACAAGGCATTTCTCTCTTCAACAATTAATTTTCAAAGACAAGTAACACAGAAATGACAAGTTGCTTCTCCAACTATAATACAACAATGAAATAGAAGGAAAACAGAGTAAAATCATGATTACCTTTTGCTGTTGTTTGAGAAGAAGCTTCATGTTCCTACATTCATAATTATCACCTGTTTGGGAAGGAACCCCAAGAGTGCCATCACCGCAACTGCAAGACCATTTTCAAAAGGCAAAAATACTGTAGAAAGTCGTACAATAAGATAGAGAGAGAGAGAGAGAGTAGCTATAGAAACGTAAAGACAAAAGCAGAGTAAACAATCATAAACCATAGAATATACAGATCCATAACTTCAAATTTTGAAAATGTGTCCGTGCATACGAGTATTATCAATTTATCATAGTATGACAAGTCAGAATTTTTTATTTTCATTAAATTTTTTAAACAAAAAAAGCCTAAGTTTGACAATTTGATCCAGAATCCAATGACACTGCAAGCTCAGCTTGGACTAATTTTTATCATTGAAGATCAAGTTAAAATACCATGCTAAATGATATCATACCCGAAACCCAATTAAATTCCAACTCCACTTGCTAGACTGCTAGTTTTTAAAGCCAAAATTGAGGAGAATGTAAGACAAACATTGACCATGCCCAGAACCTTGCTCTAGCTCAAGTGCAAAGCCAAATTCGTCACTATATAACATGTTGTACAGGTTTTTTTTTATTAATTACCCATGCATCAAAGCCAGAGTCTACATTGGGCATCCTTATTTCCATATCTCATCCTTAGATTGGATGAATTTCTGTTATTACCCATTTTGCCACTCTAAACTTAATTTCAATTTCAACACGACCTTTGCTAATTAACAAAATTTTTAGTTTCAGACATTCAGTTCTCCAAAAAGTTCAACCTCCACATTTTACTCAATAGGTTGAACTCGATGAAATTATTTCCCAAATTGCACATGCTGCAATGCAAGCCTCCAAAGCTAGTTTTCACCAGCATCTACAAAGTTATAGAACGGAAAGATCTGGATCAAAAACAATATACTCACCTCACCTAACACAGCAATTCCTGCAAACATCTGGATCACATTCTAGGTCTGCAGCGATGGATGGACATTGGCGACTCTGACACTGACTTTTTGGACAATGACAGCCTCTAAACTGATTCTTGCAGATCTTAACAAGAAAGAAAATATGGCATTTTAAAAGCATTGAGGCATGTCAACTGAGATAGGATAAAAATATATAGAAATAAAATAAGTGATAAATGTTTTTTATCTGATGAACAAAAGAGGGGAATATAAAACAACCATATAATAATAATCATAATCATCATCATCATCATCATGATAATGATAATGACAATAATAATGCTTATTTGGTTACATTAATAATAATGCTTATTGCTGCTGAGGAATGGCAAAGGCTAACCCGCAGTATTTTTCACAGCAGGTCTCCATTACTTTCGTCAATACCATTTTGCATATTAATTGCATCTTTATGCCTCTTTGTCAGTAGGTCTATGCTTTTATCAGCACCGATTGCCTTATTGTTTCTTCTTTCCAATGATAACTTGTAAAGATGATTGTTGATGTAACCTGCTTTCTTCCATTCTTTTCTGAATGGAAAACTAGTAAAAATAAATCATTTATAGAGATATTATGAAGGCAGTATTCACAAGCATAATTAGCTAAACTACTAAAAGTTGCAGGCAAGGATGCACCTTTATATATATACACACTGATCAACAGCAACTTGTTTCTTTAAAGAATCAATAACTGATAAAATTTCTTTAGGACCTGGACTCATTTCTTGCATCCCCACCATCTATGAAAAATCAACATGAGTTAACATCTTAAAGACAATGAATGACACATAATGCAGTAAATAGTAAAAAAGGAAAACTTTAAACCAGATAGATGGGATTGAAGAAGTATTAACAGTTTTACAGTCAATGCATGAACACATGCTTAAAAAAAGTTATGAGGAAATATTTTGTGAAGAAGTTGACAAACATAAGTATAAAACAAAAAATTCAAATCCATGTGATGAAGTTGAATCTGTATATTTCAGCAAGAAACCATAAGCATGTGTATTCCACTACATGCCAACTCTAGAGGCCAGGTACTGCACATGAAGTGAAACTTTTTCATTTATTTTATATTATTTAATTTTCCCCCTCATTTCTGTTGAATTGACAAGTTCCATACCTTGGTCTTGTTTGAGTGTGTCCCACATCGCCTGGAGTTGTCCTATCTGTGCTAGTTATAAGATTTCAGTTTCCATCTCCTTAATACCTGGGTTTTAAGGAGAAGTGTGGGCTGAACTTTTCAATTTGGTATCAAAGTTTGATAGGGCCTGTGACTGGTGTGCCGTTTGTCCGGCTAGTATATGTTGTGGTCCAGGAGGGTGTGTTGGAATGTGTCCCACATCGCCTGGAGTTGGTGTGTTGGAATGTGTCCCACATCTCCAGGAGGGTTTCTTGTGTTGGAATGTGTCCCCCATCGCCTGGAGTTGCCCCCATCGCCTGGAGTTGGTGTGTTGGAATGCGTCCCACATCTCCAGGAGGGTTTCTTGTGTTGGAATGTATGGTGAGTAAAGATAGGGTATCTGTGGATAGCACAAAGGTGGTAGAAAATCGTTGATTGGCCACGACCTACTTCTGTGACAGATGTACGTAGCTTTCTAGGGCTTGCTAGGTATTACAGACGGTTTGTGGAAGGATTTTCTCGTATTGCTTTGCCACTTACCCATCTCTCCAGGAAAAGGGTAAAGTTTGAGTGGAATGATGATTGTGAGCGTAGTTTCCAAGAGTTTAAACAGAGATTGACATCAGCTCCAATCCTCGCCTTACCTACAGATGGAGGTGGTTTTGTGATTTATAGTGATGCTTCACGACAGGGTTTAGGATGTGTGCTCATGCAGCATAGGAATGAGATTATGACGAAGGCACATAGTTCTAGTTATAGTTATAGCATTCATCCTGGAAGTATTAAGATGTATCGGGATCTTTATGAACATTTTTGGTAGAATGGTATAAAGGGAGATATTGCAGAATTTGTGGCTCAGTGTTTGGTGTGTCAATGGGTTAAAGTAGAATATTAGAAACCTGCGGGGAAACTACAACCCTTACCTATACCAGAGTGGAAGTGGGATCATGATACCATGGACTTTGTGTGTCGTTTATCTCGTACTAGTAGTAACCACGTTGTAGTTTGGGTTGTTGTTGATAGATTAACCAAGTCAGCACATTTTATTGCAGTTCAGATGAATTATTCTCTAGCTCGATTTGCACAGTTGTATGTGATGGAGATTGTTAGATTACATGGTGCACCTGTGTCAATAGTGTCAGATCGGGACCCTCGTTTTGTGTCTAAGTTTTGGGGTGCGTTACTGTACGGGGAGCAAATATTCCGGCGAGCCCGTACTCCTTTCTTCCGAGCTCCGTCTCTGTCCGATCACCTGCGAGCCAATAAGGGTGAGCTACCCGGCGGTGTGTGGCCGGAAAAACCCTCCGACGATCAAGTTAAAACACACACACAGAGGATAACTAGAGAGAAGGGAGAGAGTGTTTGGGTGTAAGAATTTCTTACAGAGATGTTCGTGTTCCGTATGGGGGGCGCAGACATGCTTTTATACCTTCTGAGCCCCATATCCACTCCCAGTCATCTCCTGACACGTGGCTCTACTATCCCATCTGTCAGCATAAACCATGCCATTCACCACCTAACCTCAACTGCCTGACTTCACAGCTGGAGCTCGGCAGCCGAGCTGCTCTACCTCGGCCATGTCATGCTTCAAACCCATGCGCCTAGCCGGACAAACACATGAAGGACCGGGCTAGGCGGCATCTCGGCAAAGCCTAGCCCGGGCAGCTCCTTTGGTTGGCCTTCTTGCCGGTCAATCAACTACCTCGGCTGACTGCGCCTTTCCGGGCGCCGGTCTCTCGGTCTGTCTGGTTTCGACCATCCTCGGACCGAGCATCCTGGTCTGACCGGTCACTTCCTGGCCGAGCAGTTTCTGTACGGTCCGGGGTGGCACACACACTCAGTCCAACTCTGCCCGGCCCAAGTTCTCTCAGCCCATTTCCGGGCGGATAGTTGATCAGCTCGGCCCCATACACCGTTGGGCCCTCAACCTGCTCGGCCGTCACCTCGGCCCAACTCCAGATCATAAATTACCCTCTCAAGTCCATCAATATGTTAACATCAATAGACAGTGACATTTATAAGAATTTGTGACTTATTGAGCAAAACAATGGCTGCCGTTGCCAACCATCTCAAGTTTCCACTATGCATACGCATTCCATTCGCTTGCACGTTTTTAGAGCATACTTTTATCACTATGCTCCGCAAATTCAATGCTACGCAAATACAATTCAGCTTGTTTGACTCCATTTTCAAGATTTATTTTTTAAAAAATTAAAATTCATTTTTAAAAAAATTTTAAAAAAATTATTTTTTATGTTCTTTTATTTTTATTGATTTTTTTTAGTATTCTAGGAATTTTTTTTTAATTTTTAAATACACCTAACATTAATACACTTAAAAGGTATAATATTTGTGAAAAACATCTTTAAAAAATTCACTAAATACTAAAAATATAAAAAAAATGTGAGAATTCAATATATTTTTTTATATTTTTGTATATTTATTGATTTTTTAAAATATTTTTTACAAATATTTTACTTTTTAGATAAATTAAGTATGGTACATCTAAAAAAGTAAAAAAAAAAATATTTAAAATTTTAAAAATATTCACTAAAATAAAAATAAAATAAAATAATAAAAAATTTAATTTTTAAAATATTAAATCTAAAAAATTAAAACCAATCATAATAATTGTTTTTCCACACTCATTTTTCTCTACAATCTACATAAATATATTCAATAATAAATAAATATTTGTTTACAAGTTCTTTTCAAGTCGGTTGTGCACGGGGAGGAATTCGAACTGTTTAATGACCGAGCTAAAATCCAGCTCCTTTTGCGCGACCGCGCTCACACTTAAACTTGCCGTCCTTTTCCTGCAGAGTCCAAGGGGACCACTGTCATTCCTGAGGCTCTCAGGACCGGGCAACATCCAATACCCAGAGCCAAACCCCTCAGCCGGGATACACTAAGCCGGCCAAAAATGGGGAAGTTCCGCTTCCTAGTGGATACTCCGGCTGCGCTGGTTACATTTAGGGAGGACTACGGCGTCCCGGCCGATGTCCACCTGCAGCTCGCAGAAGAGGAGACCACACCTTGGGGTAGGGATGAGTGCCCCTTCACCGTGCTATCCATCGTTGAAGGGGGTCTTCGTTTCCCGCTCAACCCTCTTATAACCGAGTTCCTCCGCCGCACCGGGCTGGCACCCACACAGGTGTCCACCAACACTTATAGAATAATCAACGGCGTTCACGAGTTGAACAATCGGCTAGGCATCAACTTAGGTCTGGCCGAGATACTGAGGCAATACACGATGGGCCACACCGGTGATGGCCTAACTTACTACTTGAAAATAAGACCGGGCAAGGAAAAAATCATAACCGGCACCCCGGATAAAGACATGCACGACGACGATTTTTTCTGGGTGTCCGGCAACTACGAAACAGCCGAGGTACCGGGCTGGTTTATAAACAAAAGCTTCGGTTCTTCATGTAAGCCGCTCACCTTGCTCGGTTGGTCTAACTCTTTACTCTGCAACTAACCGGTTTTCCTGTTTCCTTTGCAGCAATCCAAGCCTTACAAGCCAACTACCAATTTCCAAACGTCGAGGCAATTCGGACCGTGCTTCGGTATCCCCACCGAGATTGCAACGACTTACTTGGCTACACCCCGACTTACAGATATTCTACTCCGCGCCGGAGTAGAGTAACTGACTTCCTCAGAGCTCCTTCGCCACCTCCAGGCCCTACCCTTCCGAACGTTCCTCTCATCCGCCTGACCGAGAAGCAAGAGATGGCCAAACGCAGCAGAATCAAGAATCTTCTCACCGCCACCTCCGCCGAGCTGCCGAGCGTTGTAACCCGGTCGCCAGCCGCCGACCAATCCAGTAGCGCTGTGGTCGCCCTTGCCACTCCATCCGCCGGGCAATCCAGCCGAGAACCCTCTGCAAGGCGCGCCGGGAAGAGAGCTCGGGCAGACCCGTCCGCCGAGCTAGTCACCGAGCTTACCACCGAGCACCCAACAGACGCGCCCGCCCCAGTGCCGGCCTGGCGCCCACATTTGAAGCACCGGGGTCAAGATATCCCGGCAACGGCTTCGATCAAGGCTGACAAAGAGCATCTGCTCGCCTTCGATCTGTCCAAAGCCCTGCTACTACCGAGCGACGTGGTCGGCAGCGACCACGTTCTTGACACTCGGTTAGTCAAATCGTCAGTGAAGTCTATGGCTAGGGTAAGTCGACGTTTTTCTGAAAAATTCACAAGTGTTTGCCCGGTTCTGTTTCTAATCAACTTTTCTTTTTGCAGGCCATTCAAAAACAACATCTGGTTTTGGAGCGCATCCACCGGCTCAGGCAGAAAGCCAACGACACGGCCAGCCAGGTCGAGAGCCTTCAAGCCGAGTTCGGCCGGGCTAAGGCTTCACTTGAGATGGCCAACACTGATAATAACAGGCTGCTCGGTCAATTGAATGCAGCCGAGAAAAAACAAAGCGAGCTCCAGACCGAGGTGGATACCTTGAAGAAGTCGGAGAAGAAAGCTTGTCGGGCTGCCAACAACGCGGGTTTCAACGAGGCCGAGAAGAATTACAAGCAGCAAGTCTTTGCAACACAAGACATATACTTCAAGGCTGGCTGGAAATCCGCTTGCGAACAGCTCGGCCAGGGCTCTGACACCTACGTTTTTGCCAACCCTCCCAAAGCTTCACTACCGGTCTACCTCGTGCCATATGCAAATGATGTATTCAGTGCGCTTCAAGCGGAGGCCGAGGAGGGGCTTGAAGAAGGGAGTGATGAGACAGATTCGGAGGCTGAAGACGCCGTAGTGGAAGTGCAGCCCGGTCAAGTTGAGCCCGGTGCCCAAGAAGCGAGCCCAACCACCAACCTTGAGACTGCCGAGGATGAATTCACCAATCTATCCCCCCTGATTTAGTTTTCTTTTCTTTGCATTTTTGCTTTCAATACTTTAGATGTAACCGGGCTCTGTCCCCACCTCTTGTAATGAATTTCTTTATCAATGAAAAATTTTGAATTTTCGCCAAGTGTTTGCCCGGTAATAATCAATTCCATCTTCAGCAAACTATCTCGGTATGACTTATCAT